TTTTCTATTTTCCTTGTCATTCTTGCTAGAGGTTTGTCAATTTTATTGATCTTTTCAAAGAATCAACCTCTTTTCACTGATTTTCTCTATTTTCTGTTTTCAGTTTCACTTATGTTTGCTCTTATTTTCTTCCTTTTGCTTGCCTTGAGTTCATTTTGCTTTTCTTTTTCTAGTTTCTTGAGGTGGGAGGTTATATTACTGATTTGACTTTTCTTTTTTCTAATGTAAGCATTTTAGTACCATAAATTTCCTTCTCAGCACTTTAGGAAGCTCAGCACTTCTCAGCTTTAGCTGCATCCCACAACTTTTTTTTTTTTTTTTGAGCCTGAGTTTCACTTTGTGGCACAGGCTGGAATGCAATGGCACAATCTCAGGTCACCACAACCTCTACCTCCCAGGTTCAAGCAATTCTCCTGCCTCAGCCTCCTGAGCAGCTGGGATTACAGGCATGTACCACCACACCTGGCTCCCGGCCAATTTTGTATTTTTGATAGAGACGGGGTTTCTCCATGTTGGTCAGGCTGTTCTCGAATTCCTGATCTTAGGTGATCCACCCGCCTCGGCCTCCCAAAATGCTAGGATTACAGGCGTAAGCCACTGCTATGGCCATAAATTCTGATATTTGCATTTTCATTTACTTTCATTTCAATGTTGTCTTTTAAAATTTCCCTTGACATTTTGCTTTTTGGCCCATGGATTATTTAGAAGTATTTTGTTTAGTTTCCAGGTGTTTGGAGGAATTTTTCTGTTATGTTTCTGTTATAGATTTTTACCTTGATTTCATTGTGTCAGAGAACATACTGTGTATGATTTCAATTTTTAAAATTTGTTTAAATTTCTTTCCTTCATGTTATGGTTTAGTTTGGCAAATGTTTCATGGGTGCTTGAAAAGAATGTGCATTCTGCTTCTTGTTGGGTGGAGTATTATATAAATGTCAATTAGATCCTGTTGGCTGATGTTTTTCTATATCCTTATTGATTTCTGTCTAGTTGTTCTAAAATTGTTGAGAGAGGGACACTGAATCCAACTATACTTGTGGATTTATCTCTTTCTTCTTTTAGATCAATCAACTTTTGCTCCACATATTTTATAGCTTCTGTTGTTTGGTGCATACACATTTAAGATTTTGCTGTATCTTCTTGGTGGACTGACCTTTTCATCATCGTCTAATGTCCCTCTCTCAACCTGGTATTCTCCCATCTGAAATCTGTTTCATTGGATATAGTAATATAGCCACTCCTGCTTTGTTTTGGTTAATGTTTCCATGGTATATCCCTTCCCATTATTTTACTTTCAGCCTATATTTAATGTGTTTGAAGTTAGTTTCTTTTAGACAGGTTATAGTTGGGTCATTTAAGAAATTAACTGCCAAGCTCTTTCTTTTAACTGATGTTTTTAGGCCACTCATATTTAATATAACTATTGATATGTTAGCCTGCCAATTTATTTGTCGTTTTCTGCTTGGTCCTTCTGTTTTTAGTTTCTTTGTTTTCTTTTACATACTTTCCAATGGGCTATTTGAATATTTTAAAAATACTATATTTTGATTTATCTATGGTGTTTCTGAGTGTATTTCTTTGCATAGGTATTTTAGTGGTAGCTCTAATTTTTGCGTTATACATAGAAACTTATCAGAGTCAACTGGTGTCAACATTATACCAGTTCAAATGAAGTGTAGAAAGCTTACCTCCCTTTATATCACTTTACACTCCTTTGTTTATAATTATCTTAGGTATTTCCTCTACATATATCCCAAACTCTGGGGCTCAAGTGATCCTCCTGCCTCAGCCTCCCAAAGTGCTAAGATTATAGTTGTGAGTCACCATGCCTAGCCTCAAGATTTCATCTTTAACAATAGTTTTTAATATGATGTAGCTTAATGTAGTTTTCTTCATGTTTCTTGTGCATGGCATTCATTGATTTCTTAAATTTGTGAGTTTAGAGTTTTTATCAAAATTAGAAAAATTTTGGCCATTTTTAAAATTATTTTTTTCTGTCCCCTGTTCCTCTCCTTTGGTAACTTTAATTACACATAAATTAGATGGCTTGAAGTTGCCCAGCTTAATTATGTTCTATTTACATAACAAAATGATTATTTTCTTTCTGTGTTTCATTTTGGATAGTTTCTATTCCTATGTCTTCATGTTCACTAATGTTTTCTTTTGCAATGTCTAATCTGCCAATAATTCCATCTAGTATATTTTCCATGCCAGAAATTATAATTTTCCTCTCAAAAATTTTAATTTGGATCTTTTAAAATATCTTCTATATCTCCACTTAGCTTTTTGAGCACATGGAACCCAATTATAACAATTGTCTTAATGCCCTCATCTGCTAATTCTAACATTTATGTCACTTCTGGGTCAGTTTTAATTAATAATTTCTTCATAATGAGTCATAATTTCCTGCTTCTTTGCATATCTATTTAAGTTTTGATTGAATGCCAGACAGTATGAATTTTACCTTGTTGGGTGCTGCATATTTTTGTATTTCTATAAATATTCTTGAGTTTTGTTCTGGGATAGTTAAGTTACCTGGGAACAGTTTGACACTTAGGATCTTGTGTTTATGTTAGGTAGTCTTGAGCAGTACTAAGTCTTGGGGCTATTTTATGCCCTACTGAGGCAAGAACTTTTTGAGTCCTCTACCCAATGCATCATCAATTATGAGGACTTCCAGCTTGGTTGATATGAATATGTACTATTCCAGTTGTGAGTATCAGGTACAGTTGTCTTTAGTGCTTTAGGGTGCTTCATTCTTTGGCTTTGGGTAGTTTCCTTACACACATGTACTGATCAGTACTCTGCTGACTCAAGGGGAACCCTCTTCAGATCTTTAGAGTTCTGTATGTAGCTTTCTCTTTCTCTTTTCCTCTATGTAGCTCTTTTTCCTCCTTGGTCTCCCTGAAGTCCCAGATCCATCTCCTTGACTTAGGGAAACCACTGGCAACCCCCCAGGATATCCATCACCGCATTGTGAGTTGGAAACTTTCCCAAGGGAGTAAGCTAGGACAATTTTTTTTTTTTTGAGATGGAGTTTTTTTTCTGTCACCCAGGCTGGAGTGTAGTTGTGCAATCTCAGCTCCCTAAAACCTCTGCCTCTCAGCTTTAAGTGATTCTCCTGCTTCAGCCTCCCAAGTAGCTGGGATTACAGGCACCCAGCATCATGCCTAGCTAATTTTTGTATTTTTGTAGAGACAGGGTTTCACCATGTTGGCCAGGCTGATCTTGAACTCCTGACCTCAGGTGATCTGCAAGCTGGGTCCATTCTAAGTCTCACCTCATTTACTTCTTATCTCCCAGGGGGCTTTGTTCTTTGGTGTGTGATATCCAATGTTTTGAAAAATAGTTTTCATAAGTATTATCTGGTTTTTAAAAAATTGTTTTAGGCAAGAGGGTAAATCTGATCCCTGTTATTCTATCAAGGGTGAAACAATGACTTGCTTCTAATGAACAGAATGTAGAGGAAGTGACAACATGTTACTTTTGAGACTATGGCATAAAAGATATTATGGCTTCTTCATTGCTCTCCCTCTCTTTTGGATCAGTTGTTCTGGGAGAAGCCTGCTGCCACAAATTAAGGACATTCACGAGCCCTATGGAAAGATCCAAATGGTCAGGAAATAAGAATACCTGCCAACAGCTAAGTGAATATGCCATCTTGGGACTGGATCCTCCAGCCTCATGTGAGCTTTCAGATGCCTGACATCTTGGCTACAGCTTCATGAGGGACCCCAAGCCAGATCTACCTAAGCCACTTATGAATTCCTAACTCCTAGTAACTATGAGATAATGTTTATTAATTTAGGCCACTACATTTTGGGATAATTTGTTACACAGCAATAAACAATGAATAGAGGTACCAAGTTCTGCTCAAGCTGTAGAAATGATCAATTGAATTTCTTAAATAATTTTATCCTTTTCCAAACCCAGCCTAAGTAACAATGCACAGACAAAATCCCCACACTTAGCTCTTAGAGCATTTATATTAAACACTTTCCCTGTGTGACTTTTTTCAAGAAATAAATCGTGAGTTGTTGTAAGCCTAAGGTTCTGTCAAAGCAACCAGGGTATGTTCTAACCCAGGAAGCATAAAGTAATGTATATTATTTACATTCTTTATAGTATCAACAGAGATGTTATCTTTCCAATTCCAATGAGGGAAACTAAGGCATTAATCAAAAAGTAAGTAGATTCCATTCATATATTACATTAATAATTCAGCAATAGATTTATGAAATTTCCTTTTTTTGAAATCTTAAATAATAAGACTTATATCCATTGAGTAGCATATATTAGCAGCAAGGCTACCTCAAGGAAGGAGATGCATAGAAACTCTGGAAGTCTTTCTCATCTCTACAATTCTGAATTTTATATAAGGGAGAAAGGGAAGATAGAAATTTTGAGGAAGAGCATAGATAATTGTCTATGTGTGAAGGAGCTTTATAAAAACACTGTACCTGGCCCAGCCATTGCCTTCCATAACCCTAGGGGGCAGTTTCACCTGAGTCTGTGTGGAATGTAGAAAAAATACGCTCATGTTTTTGCATAGTTAGGGCTTTCTGAGCAAAGAAAACTGGTACCTGAGTTAAAGTGCAAGTCTTAGAAGTTAAAAGATGATTGAACAGCCAGAGACCTTAGAAGAAATTTAGAGGCTTCCCTCCTTCTGTGTTTACATTTCAAAGGGCATAAAAGGAGTCAGTTGTTTACATTTCAAACATCTGACTGTTGCCAAAGTTTCTCTCCCTCTCTCTGGAGTGAAAAGGGGCAGTCTGTAGCCTATTTATACTCCCAGATTAATAATTTTGGAGTTTCTCTTCAAGTGTGTACACCCCTATATATGCAGGATGCCCTCTTACTCTCATGGTGTCACTTGGGGGCTACCACATGTGGAGAGGTAGTGTAGTTATTGCTGTAAGTATTAATAACTATGATCCCTATTCCAGAATTACCACTGTATTTACTTTCAGGATAAAACGAATAAATATAGATATACTTACCGCAAAAGGGAGGATGCACTCATGCTGATCTTGTACCATGTATAAACTGAACAGGGACATGCGGCTGGGGCCCATCAAGCTGCAGGCTAGGGAGAAGAAGTTCTGCAGAGCCTCACAGAGGTTGGCACAGATGTCAGCCCAAGACGGTAGAGCAATGTGCACAATGAGAAGCCGTGGAGGTTGCTGGTCAATCTGAATGTGAGTGGAGGGCCCCTTACTGGTAGTTTGCCCAGGATGCATGGCAGCGAAACCAGAAGCGGAACTGTAGCCACCAGCTGGATATTCTCTACACATATAGGGAAGGAAAGAGAAACTACTGGTTTTCAAACTGAATTATGTGTGCTCTGTTGAAATATAAAACACAAGTTGGGGGAAAAAGTCCAGAAAGGAGTCAGATTGGGTACTGCAGCTGGTCTAGGCCATCCTATTTTAACAGCTCCCAAGAGATCTAGATTTTGCCTATAATGTAAGCCCAAAAATGGTTAGAGATGCTGAGTGGAATTAATCAAAAGTTACACCAAAACCTCAAGCTTCTGTCTCAAAGTCAGCTATCTGCTTCCATAAACTTTGTTTCTTTATTAGCATTTATTGTGCTCTATTATAATTAGTTCCTATGACTGCCTCTCCCCCTATATTGTAAGCTTCTCAAGGGTAGAGAACCTGTCTTGTTGATTTTATTCATCAGTACCTAGCATATGTGTGTTTAGTACCTAACAAATAATTCTTAAAAAATGAAAATATGACTACATTTCTCCTTGGTTAAAATTCTTTGGTTGTCTAAATCTCTTATAAGGTAAAATTTAAACTATCTTTAAGACCTGTCATTACTTGATTGTTAGACTCATTAGCAGCTGTTCTTTACCTTGAGGTTTTCATGGAAACAATACCAAATATATTCACTTTAGTGCATTTGCTCATGCTGCTTCTTGCCTCCAATACTCCTGGCTACTTTTACTAATCCCCAAGACTCAGATTAGGAAGTGAGAACAAATGAGAACACAGAATCAATATAAGGAATGAGAAAGGGACATTGTTACAAATGCTCAAACATGAAAGGGGTTATAAGAGGATATAATGAATGGTTTTAGGCTAATAAGTTTGATAAAATGGACAAATTCCTAGAAAAATGTATCTAATCAATACTAAAGAAATTTTAGAAACCTAAATAGTCTATAGCCATTAAGGAAATTTAACTGGTAATCAACTATTTTCCCACAAAGTAAGTTAGAAGGCCAGATGATTCCACTGATGAGTTCCATCAGACTTGCAAAGATCAAGAATATCAATTTTTTTTAAGAGATGGGGTCTTGTCATGTTGCCCAAGCAAGTCTCAAACTCCTGGGCTCAAGTGATCTACCCACCTTGGCCTCCTGAAGTGCTAGGATTACAGGTGTGAGCCACTGTACCCAGCCAAGAATTTCAATCTTGAATTTTTTTAGAGAACAGAAGAGGGAACACTCCTCAATTAATTTTACGAGGTTAGCACAATCTTTGAAAATGAAACCAGATAAAGGTGCAATAAGAAATAAATTACAGGATAATCTCACCTATACACTTGTAAATATTCTAAATAAAATAGAAATTGAAACTAATAATATATGGAAAGAATAATACAGCATGACCAACTTGAGTTTATCCCAAGAACCTAAGGTTGATATAACATTAGAATATCAATCATTGTAATTCGTCACATTAAAAAAGTAAATGAGAAAAATGATATGATCATCTCAATAGATGCAAAAGAAGCCTTTGTTTAAAACCCAACATTTGTGCATGATAAAGACTGAGTAGATAATAGGAATTTACCTATTCCTATTATCTATTAGGAGCAGATAATAGGAGTAGATAAAGAATAGATAATAGGAATAATCTTATAAAAGACATTTATAAAAATGGAGAGCAAACATTATTCTTCATGGTGATATGTTGAAAGCTTTCATGTAAGACAAGGCATGTGCTGTCATCACTTCTATTTAGCACTGTAGTGAAGGTAGTAACGAGGTAAGACAAATAAAGAAAAGGCATTGCAATGAAAAAAAGAAATAGTCATTGTGTGCCAATGATTGTGTATGTAGAAAATCTAAAATAATCTACTGTTTTATAATTTTCCCCAAAAGATCTCTTTGTCTGTTATTAAATTTTAGTTTTAGGGATCTATCAATTTTTAAATGTTAATTTACATTTCAAAGAACTATCAATGACAAAATTTCTCTCACTCTCTCATCTTTTCACATTTCATTTTTAGTTTGTTTCTAATGTATAGGAATATGGTTAGTTAAAACAAATTTTTATAAAGATGGGGTCTTGCTATATTGCCCAGGTCGGTCTTGAACTCCTGAGCTCAACCAATCTAACCAGCTCTGCCAACTGAAGTGCTGGGATTACAGGCATGAACCACTGTGCTCAGCTATAATTTCTGTATATTGATTTTATATTTAACAACCTTGCTACACTCTCTTACTAATTATAATAATTTATCTGTAGAACTTTTTGGATTTTTTGTTCTTAATCATATAATTCTTAAATAATCATATATACCAGGATACATGAAAAAGTTCAGATCGCAGCAGCCAAAAAACTATTAATAACAATCCTGTTCTTAATTACCCCAAATTGAAAAAAACATGTCAATCTACATTAAAATAGATAAATTATAGTATACTTCCGTATATAGCAATGAAGATGAATGAACTACAGTTGCATGTGGCAACATGAATGATTCTTAGAAACAAGCAAAAATAGCCATATTGTTTAGAGACACATAGTGATAAAACTATAAAGAAAAGCAAAGAAATAATAATCACAAAAATGAGGGTAGTGATTTTTCTCTAGGGAGGAAGGCATTATGATGAGAAGAGACAAAAGGAGGGGATTCTGGGGTGTTGGTAATGTTCTATTTCTTTCTTTCTTTCTTTCTTTTTTTGAGACAGGGTCTTGCTCCACTGCCCAGGCTGGAGTACAGCAGCAGCCAGATCTCAGCTCACTGCAGCCGCCACCTCCCAGGCTCAAGTGATCCTCCCACCTGAGCCTCCTAAGTACCTGGGACTACAGGCATGCACCACAACACCTCGCTAATTTTTGTGGTTTTTTTGGTAGAGACAAGGTTTCACCATGTTGCCCAGACTGGTCTCAAACTCCTGGGCTCAAGCAATCCTCCCACCTTGGCCTCCTAAAGTGCTGGGATTACAGGCATGAGCCACCACTTTCAGCCTCATGTTCTATTTCTTGATCTTTATTGTGGTTATTGGGTATTCACTTTATACTATTAAACTATACATTCATGTTTTATGATATTTTCTATATGTTATATTTAATAATAATATTTCAAAAAGAACATTAGGACAATCAAAAGAAAACATAAAAAAACCTGATAAAAAAGATAGCTAAAAAGATAGTTAAAAAATATGTCTCCACCTATGAGAACTAAAATCATTTTATATAATTTTTTTTTATCTAAAAAATGCAGGGAAACTTAAAGCTTCTTTGATTTCCCCTGTGACCAAGAGAAAGATAATTATGATAATTTTCAGAAACATTTTGGAATTTAGATTCTTTAAAAATGATTTAAGAATACATATAGGGCCGGGCGCGGTGGCTCACGCCTGTAATCCCAGCACTTTGGGAGGCTGAGGTGGGTGGATCATGAGGTCAAGAGATCGAGACCATCCTGGTCAACATGGTGAAACCCCGTCTCTACTAAAAATACAAAAAATTAGCTGGGCATGGTGGCACATGCCTGTAATCCCAGCTACTCGGGAGGCTGAGGCAGGAGAATTGCCTGGACCCAGGAGGCGGAGGTTGTGGTGAGCCGAGATCACGCCATTGCACTCCAGCCTGAGTAACAAGAGCGAAACTCCGTCTCAAAAAAAAAAAAAAAAAAAAAAAATGAGTTCCAATTATGTGCTGGATACAGCTAGAAAAATAAGTGAATGAATATGCTAATCTATTGAAAGTCATCTTGAACCAGAAATCCAAATCAGTTACTAATGTATTTATCAAGAAAGCACAAAATATATTTTTAAACTGTGTGTACATGGGGCCAGTTTCTACATGGAATGCTGAACTTGAAGTTCACATGGAAAGATTCACAATAGGTAGTCAGAGGCCTTATTTAATGTATAATGAGCTTCTACTTCCCTTGTCCATCTTCTCTCACATCTGAAAATGTCATTTTAAAGTAGAGGCAGTCCTCATTTTGCATGGTTCCAGTATATACAGATTTCAGTTACTGCAGTTTAGTTAATTAACATCAGTCCTCCAACCACACAGTTCAAATTTCAGTTACCATGGAATATTAACTGTAATTACATAAAGTACAAATTGCATCTAGCTTTTCAGTTCACAAATTACTATATAAATAGTTAACAGAATCAATAGTGTAGTATACTGATATAGTATAGTGTACTGATATAATATAGTGCTCAGTGCATCTTGATCAGTAATTAATTATATCACTTCTTTCAAAGTCTGTTGGTGACTGGTCACTGCAGATTCATTATTCAGTTAAAGCACAGACAGCAAAGTGCATAGTTGTGTTGCCTCTTTGTCTCCTAGTGGTAAGCCCACATGACAGTTTTACAAAAATGAAAACAAAGAGGGAACTAGCCAATAAAGAATGCAGCAAAGAAATAAAAAATGATAGTGTTGACAGTGAAATCAATCTAACGTAAGTGGAGTTAAAGAAGAAACAGCTGACTATGAGAGTGTTGACACTGCCACCATTTAATAGACTCTAGAGAAGCAGCCAGAGGAATTTAGTGAAGGCAAACTTATCAAAATACTTGAGGAAAGTCATTGTGATAGAAAGGATAAAGACATCCTACAGAAAGTGCCACTGGCAAAAAGCTTCACTATTAAGGAAACTTTCAGAGATATTTTACAAAATTGAAGGTACAAAGAATAAAATGTAGGAAACTGACCCAAACTTAGAAAGAATTATGACAGTTTGCCATGGCACGCAAAAAATGTTTGCTCTCTCATAAGTTTTACTATGAGAAGCAAACAAGTACAGTTCAAACTACTCTTGGTAAGTTTTTTCTTCAAATAAAACACTTTAGCTCTCAATGTTTCTAATGTTTTAAATTAGTGTATGAAATAGTTTTACTGTTTTACATTTCCCTATATACGTAGTAAGAAAGATTTAGTGTTTGGAAAATTTTTCAAGGTTACAGAACTACTGTAATTTTTCCCATTGGTGTTTAAGATCTCTTTGAGTGGTTTCAGTTTGCAGTCATTTTTCAATCCCACACTAATGTGCAACTGGAAGACTGTATTTTAAATGAAGTAAGAGGCAGTTCTCTTCCTTATATCCTCAAACATCATCAATTCATGCATCTGATGTGTTTGGGCATAGCACTGCAACCTCCACCTCCCAGACTCCAGTGATCCTCCCACCGTAGCCTCCTAAGTACCTGGGACTACAGGCATGCACCACAACACTTCGATAACACAGGATCTGACCTTATTTTGCCAAGAACACTCGCTTAATGGTTCCTCCCTGCGAATTGATTAAACCTGAAACAGGGCCTTGACCCACCCAAACCACCAAGTTACACCCAAACTAAAAACCTTCCAAAGACTTCCAATTACATCTTTGGAAACAAAATCCAAACTCTTTACCCTGGCCCTAAAGTTCTACTTCTGCCTTCTTCCCAACTCTCCATCCTCATGCCAGGCCTTCCCCTGCCTGAACCCCGGGAGACCCTCCCCTCCACAGATCGACCTCTCTCTGTGTCTCCCTCTGTGGATGTTTTGTTTCAAGCTGATATTTCTAGGTTAGGGCCCCTTTACACGCCCTCATTCACTTTGTCAAGTGATAAATTATTCAATGGTTCTCCGTCTGGCAGGGCCCCATTAAAGTTTTCGTGGGCCTAAGCATTTTCGTCTTTGTGGGCCCCTTCCTCATTAAAAAAAGATTGAAAGAAGTTAATGGATTTTGTGGCCCCTAAAAATCTCATTTCCCACCTCTCCATGTGAGAAAAAAATCAAAAC